TATATTGCATTTGTTTGTAAATGTGATAATGTTGAATAATGTGTATTTGGAAATTGTACTGAATGATGATTTAAAGGAGTTATTATATGATATGGATGTGTTGGATGTTGATTTGAATTTGTTATTACATAAGCAAAATTTGTATGAGGAAGAAAGTAATTTGGTAATGAATGTGATTGAGTTGTTGGAAATATACCAGTTAATTGTGGTAATGATGCTGGAGGAATACCATTATTTGATAATGTTGAAGAAGGAATTCGTATAGGCATTGTTGTTGGATTATGAAGTGATGATGAAATTTGAGATGAATGACAGAATATTGGCATATGATGTTGTGGAGGTAAATCAAGAGGATTTTCATTGAATGAACTTGGAACACTTGACGATGATGATATAAGAGATGAATGAAAACCTAAAATAAATTTATATTATTAAATGTAATGAAAGAAATTCTCATATGTTCACTAGAGACAATTATAGACAAATTAGATGTGTTCGTTTTTTTTTTATTATTTTGTACTTTGAAGTAATAGGGTTGTGATATTAACGTTATTTGTATTTTTTAAAGAAGAAAACAAAAATTACAATTTTATCTTTTTTTTTGTTTTTTCATGAATATGAGTTTTATAAATTAATTCAATGAAATATCTTGAATTGTCATAAACATGATCAAAGTTCTATTGAAAAAAAAAGACTCAATATTCATACCTGAACTTCTTGATACTGATGAACTATCAATATTAATCGGTGATGATGCTTGATATTGTTGTTTATTAGCATGATTAATTGTACGAGGTGATCGTAATGTATATGGAAAATGACTTGGTGAATATAAATGAGATCGTGAATTTGACAGAGATGATGGTGGACTTTTTAAAGGATTATTATTATAATTTTTTCCCAAAAGATTTTCACTTATTGTTCGTGATCGTGTTTTTGTTTTAATTATTGATCGTTCTGTTTGTGTCATCGCTTCAATATGTCCTGATAATTCAACACTTCTTAAAGCGAAAAGAATAATAATATTTACGAAAAAGAAAACAAAAAATGCTTCTGCTGTTTTTAGACTTACTTGTCTTCGGTGAACATCTAAAAGTACAAAATTTTATTAAAAATGAAAGAAATAAAAAAAAAATTTTCTTTTCAATTTACTTGTGTTGTTGACAATTCTCGATAATAATCTTCATCTAATTGAACTCTTCCAACACCATTTATCTGCTGAACATCAGAATGTTCTGGTGTTTTACTACTACAATCAAAACAACCAAGAAATTGAATGCATATACCATCAACAATCATTTTTCCTGAAATACGAGTCTAAATGATAATGAAAAAAAAAATAAATTTCATATTTTTAAAATTTTTCAATAAATGAAATTGTTTTTTTTTTTTTACTTTTGTTTGATCATGTTGATCAGGTATACTTTGAACAGAATCAAGAAAAAGTGAATAACCAATATCTCGAAATGTCTTTAGAAAAATTAAATATATAAATTTTCGTTTTTTTTGAAAATTTAAATAAATACTTACAACAACTAAATGCTTATTTAAAATATCTTCATCAAAACGTTTTGTTAAATCTGATAAATCTTGATTATGATGGAAATGATTTTGAATTGGTACATAAAAAACATCAGTTTCATGTAATAATTTACTTAATTCTTCATGATGTTCAAATGATTCTTGTTGAGAAGGTAAAAGGCCTATTGCTGTTGGCATTTTCGTTTGTAAATAATGACCGCAAATAATAACAAATTTTTCGTTTATTTATGTGGTGAATGGTTTTTATTTTTGTGCGTGATTTTTTCTTTTTTGGTCTTATGACATGCAGCAATCATTGGATCGCACATGCCATTTTCTTTTCTATGTGGACTTTATGACTAATAACCAATGAAAAAAGACAGAACAATAAGAGAAAATAAATTACATTTTTCGATAGAGATAACATTTTATGCTTTTGTGATGTAAAAATATAAAACAAATTCTAGAAAAATCTATTGGTACCGAAATAATTTCAAAGACGAAAATTCTAAACTTTTCTCCTTAGATAAACATTGAATTTTGTTGTCTACACAATGACATCATCATCATCAACAGATATCCTAATTATTGGTGCTGGACCTACCGGTCTTATGCTAGCATGTCAATTATCACTTTATCCAAACATATCTTTTCGTATTATTGATAAAAATTCAAGTCGTAATATACATTCACGTGCTCTTGTTGTTCATGCTCGTTCACTTGAACTATTTGCCCAACTTAATCTTGTCGAAAAAGCTATAGCTCAAGGAGAATTTGTTAATGGAGGTAATATATTTATTCGTGGAAAATGTCGGTCTTCTTTGAATATGACATCTATACAAACAGATCAACAATCTTTACTTACACGTTATCCATATATTCTTTTCCTTGAACAATCAGTCACTGAACAATTATTAGAAACATATTTAAATGAACATAATATTCATGTTGAACGACAAACTGAAGCCATAGATTTCATCGATATAGATTCGAAGAATAATAATGAAGTTCAAGTTATTTTATCGACTGGTGAAATTATTCGAACAAAATATGTTTGTGCATGTGATGGTGCACGAAGTATTGTTCGACATAAATTAAATTTATCATTTGATGGTCGAACATATTCGGAATCAATTTTTGTTGCTGATTGTAAAATTGATAATATACCCTTTGGTAAAAATCAATTGACACTTTTTTTCGCATCATCTGGTTTATCAGGTATATTTCCAATGACTCATGATCGATATCGTATTGTTGGTACAATTCATGAACAAAAAGAAACTGATCAAACAATATCAATTGAAGAAGCTGCAAATATATTAAAACAACGAAGTGAACATTTCGATCTGAATATACATGGTTGTAGTTGGATCTCTGTTTATCGTTCTCACCATCGTCATATAACAACATTTCGATATCGAAATCGATATTTTCTTCTTGGTGATGCTGCTCATATTCATTCACCTGTTGGTGGTCAAGGAATGAATACAGGTTTACAAGATGCACATAATCTTGCTTGGAAATTAGCCTATTTATTAACACATTCAGCTCGCGATCGTCTTCTTGATACATATCATGATGAACGTTCAGCTGTTGCAAAAACATTAGTTAATACAACTGATCGAGCTTTTGCTTTTCTATCAAGTGTTAATTGGATTACACGACTTGTTCGTTTATTTGTTACACCAGTTCTACTTCAATTTGTCATACAACCGTTATTTACTTACTCAAGAAAATTTCGACAAATAGTATTTCTTCGAGTATCTCAATTAGGTATTACATATCGTTCATCAAATATTTATGATTATGGTGCATCAGCAGGAAATTTTCATCAAACTACACCACAACCTGGTGATCGTTTTCCTTATGTTATTTTTAGTCCATGTTATTATCATTTAATTCTATTTGAAAATCAACAATTAACAAAAGTAAATCAATTTGTTGAATTCATCAAGAAAGAATATTCGAACATGATTCAAATTCATGATAGCAATGAAGAAAAGATTCCATTGCGATTTGAAGGTGCTATTCTTATTCGACCTGATGGATATATTGCTTATCGCACAAATGTATTTGATATAAAACATTTTCAGTGCTATTTCGATCAATTTTTTCCTAAAGAAATGATATAGTTTGTTTGAATGTATTCACGAAACTTTATAGTTTGAAATGATTGATTGGAGAATGGGATTGCTTGTCTTATTTTTAATAAAATCTTAGATAGTTTATACAGTTTCATGTTCATAGATTCTTTTTATAGCTAAATCGAACAAAAAAACCTTGGTTTAATTTGCAAAACATACAAATATTTATATAAACTGTGTGAGGTTTTTCTTTACAATGAATATTTAAAAACAAGATGAACATACACTCAAAACTTATAATTAAACACTCCGGTTCACAAATAATTTTTTTTTCAGACTGAGAGAATTTTGATACTTGAAGAATAAAGACTAGATTATATTATTCGCATCTGATTCCTTTACCTATAACGATGAGATTATAGATATCTTATAATTAATTCGTTCAGATGATGCAGTGAAAAACATTCACTACTGGACAGAAAATAAAAATTCCTCAAGCATACATCAATCTAAGTATTAGACGGAGTTTATATATATAACTACAGATAATGTCATGTCATCAACATGGATGATAGATTTGATCATGATGACATTCTATTCAAGTTTTGACTTCTGATATCTCTGGAATGACAAGTAGTACCATATGGTTGACATCTATGTTACTAACACAGATTTCTATCCATAACGTCTCATACTTAATTGACAAAATCGAACAACCATGTAATAATTACATGATATCCACTTTACTATAATAGCTATTGATTACTGCACAAATTTATTATGTCAGTTGTAAACTACAGTTTATACAGAATCACTTAATCAAAATAATGTCAATATCAATTGCATTATTCAATAAGGTTCTTTCAGTTAGTACGTCAATACACATGAGAATAATAATTCTTCCAGTTGATACATGAAATCTTTCATTTACTGATAAATCTAGCAGAGGGAAAATTCAATGATAAAAGAAGTTGAAGAAAATTACGTTTGATTTTAAAACATTTAATTATAGTAGTTTGTATACTTTGTTTCTTTATTCTAGTAATTTACTATATTGTGAAAATGTTTTTAAAGTATATCACAATAATCTACAATAGAAGTTTTAATTATCAGTGTTGGTCGAACGAGTTTTATGTTAGCATGTCAATGGTCATTTTAGCGAAATACATCGTTTCGTATTATAAGTAAAAATTCAAGTTCTACTACACAATCATGTGAACTTGCCATTCATGCTCGCTTTAAATATTCGCACAAGTTAATCGTATTGAAAGAGCAATATCTCAAGGACAATTTATTTATACGATGAAAGTATACTTGCAAGGTTGATATAGACTTCGAATAGATTTTATGTACATTTATACTGTACAAACACTTTGATTTACACATTATCTATACATGCTGTTACTTGAACAGCCAGCTACGGGACAACTATTACAAACATACTTGAATGAACATAATTTTAATGTTGAAAAACAAACTGAAACCATAGATTTCATAGATGTAGATTCAAAGAATGATAATGAAGTTCAAGTTATGTTATCAACTAGTGAAATTATTCAAATAAAATATACTTGTACATGTGATAATGCAAAAAAAAATATTGTTCGACATGCATTAAATTTACCACTTCATCTTTGAACGTATTTCGAATCAGTTTCTGTTGCTAATTGTACAATTGATAATTCACCAATAGAAAAAGCGAATCTATCATTTTTTGTGAATCTACCGGTTTGGTAAGTATGTTTGCAATGGTCGATAATTGATATTGTGTATCTGATTCAATTCATGAACAAAAACATGCAGACCTGAATTCAATCATGGATGATACTACAGCTAGACTAAAATCTCATAGTCGACATTATGATACAAATATAAATACGTGCAATTGATTATCTATTTATCGTTCTCATCATCGTATTGTAACAACATTTCGAGATCGATATCGATACTCTTTTCTTGGTGATGCTAATCATATTAATTCACCATTTGGTGGTCAAGGAATAAATATAGGTTTATAAGATGCAAGTAAACTTAATTGGATATTAGCCATTACATTAACACATTCAGCTCGATATTGTCTTTTTGATGAATATTATGATAAAAATTCATATAGTGCAAAAACATTAGCTAATAAACTAATTGAATACTTGCATCTGTTTCTAGTTCTAATTGATTTACCAAGTTTGGTGATCTTTATATTACGCTTTATTTATTAGGGTTTTTTTGTTCTACAGCTCATACAAAGTCATCCATATGTATTTTCAGAAATACTATTTTTTCAAATTTCTTAATTAGGTATTACTTATCGTTCATCAAATGTTTATGATTATGGCATATCAATAGGAAGTTCTCATCAAACTACACCACAACCTGGTGATCGTTTTCCTTATGTTATTTTTAGTCCATGTTATTATCATTTAATTCTATTTGAAAATCAACAATTAACAAAAGTAAATCAATTTGTTGAATTCATCAAGAAAGCATATTCGAAAATGATTCAAATTCATGATAGCAATGAAGAAAAGATTCCATTGCGATTTGGCGGTGCTATTCTTATTCGACCTGATGGATATATTGTTTATCGCACAAATATATTTGATATAAAACATTTTCAATGATATCTCGATCATTTTTTTTCCCCAAAGAAATCATGTCGTTCATTTTATTTATTATCATTTATGAGTTTTGAATTTTGTTAGGCAGCGTTAAAGTTTTAATGAATAATTAATTCAAACTATTATGTCAATCGACAAGTCCATTTGAGCAATGAAGAGAAAAAAAGTTAAAATGTTTAACAAGAAATATATTTCAAAACTATGAAAAAACGTTGAAGGGATTTATATCGACACCGGTCATATTCGTCGATTTATTTGAGACAGACCATCAGGTTTGGAGGAGAAAGTAAGTTGATTTGTCCCTCCTCAATTTTTCTTGTGTTTTGCATTGTTCTCTTCAAATTTTCTGGTATGAATAGTTAACACTTTTAATCCTAAAACGAATACATAGCCTAGGCATAAGCGAACTTCTATTTTCAAGTTTTTAAAGAAAACCAATTATTTTCTCTCAAAGAGAAACTAAATCAGATCATATTTTGAAGAGTAATGTAATAAAGCGATAGAGCATTAGGACAGCGTCAAAAGTATGGTTTAATCGTTAATAGATCTCAAATTCATCTAATACATGCTGCAGAACACCATGTGCAAAATTCAGCTTGATATTCGAACGACAACTTTAAGTGTCATTTTACTGAATATGTTTCAACAACGTACCTTATTAGATATCTGATGAATATCTTATCTTAAAATAAATAAATTTAGGCATACCCAGTAAAAGACACTGAATAGAAATTTTTTAGTATCTACATTTATGTCTTTACCTTTGAAAAAAGCACTGCAGTCAGAATAAAATATGAGTCAATCAGATATTCATCTTCTAGATTCACCCATTGATATATTATTTTAATAAAAAAAATAGATAGCCCATTGTACAGTTGTGTCTGATTTTTGGTAGAACGAAAAACTACTGAAAACAAAAACAAAATATCGAAAATTATACTAATATCATATCAGTACACTCTATTTATATATAATTGGACGATATGTATGCTGTTAAAACTGCACTAGTAATATTCTCTTGATATTTTTTTCAGCACTTTTTTCTTTTGACTATTTTCATGCTATTCATTGTATATGTTGTGTCTGATGTTCAGTTCAAATTACTAAATTATGTTACAGCTTGTTAAATAGTTTGAATCTGTAGTATTTCTCTCTACTTGTTTGAGTTGTTTAGTTGATACGAACGTAGCCAGATTTCTCCTTTCGATCAAACTTCGGAAACGAGATATTTCAATCAGTGATACACTCTCATTGATACGACGAAGTGAATCTTGTTGAAGTAATGATAATATTATTTGTGGTTCATTTTTGATTATATATTCACTGAAATATATTAAACTTAGACCATCTGTATCCGATAAAATACGAGCCATTTGTGGAAGATTATTCTCAGAAAGCCATTTCTGTACATGCGTATCTGTCCAGTCTTGTACATGTTCAGGAAATGTTATCGGTTGTGATGGTGGTTGCGACAAACAAGAAGAAACATCTAATAATTCTATATTATTTAGTTTTGGTTGAACAGATGTAGTTGAAATTTTATTACGTGCATCAGCCATTTTGAACTCCTTCATCAGCATATCGAGTGCTTTCGAATATTCATGCTTCGTAAAATCAACATACAATAATGAACTTATTAGAAATGCAAGCCATCCATCAGGTTTGTAATGTTTTTGCAAGAGAATCGGTACCATATTTAATTGTTTTTGAAATGCATATTGTGCTTCGGCTCGACAATAATTACTTCGTTGATATTGTTCACTCATACAGATCATAATAGTTCGAGATTGCTCAATAGCTTCTACCATTGCATCCATGACATTGCCATACATTTGATCGAAATCAATCCATACTCGATAACCAACTCGAATGAGTTCTTCATACAATTGTTTACAAATTTGTTTATCTTTATGTGAATAACTAATCATAATATCGAATTTTTTCTCATGACTATTGTCAGATGCAATGTTTTCTTCATGATTTAAATTTAAATTCCAAAGAATACCATTCACACTTTTACGTATGTTTTCATCGCTTGCTTGAAGATCCAATTGAACTAATTTAGCTGTAAATGATTGGTCCAATTGAAGTTGTGTAACAATAACTGAATTGAACGAAAGAGCCCAAATAATATCGAATGCCAAAGGATATTGGTCACATAATTTAATAAATAATGATATTTTGTTAGAATTAGCTGTTGCTGCTTGAAAAATATCATTCGATGATAAACGCAGAAAACCTGTTTCATATATATATATATATATATCAAATATTTAATTAATTTATAGACTCTTCAAAAAAGAAAACATTAGTTGAAATCGGCATTCATTATTGGTTTCAACTTACAATACATTTCATCATATGCAGAATGAGCTAATATAAGTGTTCAAAGAATCGCTTTTTTTTCAATTTAGAAAAAAAAATGGTGAAATAGAACTTGTGAGTACAAATAATTGATTTGTTCAAGTCATATCGATCTGAGACTATGAATGATTTTTATGTCTAAGAAATTCAAAGTGCATCACAACATAGTATGAAAACATTATTCGACAGGAAAGTCTGATAGAAGGCTTAGCTGAAATCTTACAAACGTATCAAAAACGAAGCGGAGTTTTTGCAAGAATAAATGAAAGAATCGAATTCAAGATTTCATTTGAGTTAGGAAACTCATTTTTATTGGAGGGCAATTGTTAGCATATCTTCTAAGAACAAAACATGCTCGAATAAATATACCTTTTAATAAATGTTGAATTGCTATTTTTTTCCATCGTTTTGTCGGATGGTTCCATGCTTGTTCGAGAATGTGGAAGAAGAATTCGCACATATTATTGCTAATTTTTAACACTTTCAATTGTTTATCAGAAAGAATTTCGGCCAAAAACCCGTAGGCACAAACACGAATTCGATCATAGGGTGATGTTTGTGCTATGGACCAAAGTATTGTAGGTAAATTTGTTTGTGAACTTATGAAACAGCCTAAATCATATGTTTCTACCGTACTTAATAGAAAGCCTAAACTCGCATCTATAAGAACAGTTTCATCATTGTATGATTGAGCAGAAATACGTTGATGATAAGGTTGATAACTAACAAGACGAATAAGGGCAAAAATATGTTCATATGTCGTGTCTTCAGATGGAACAATAAGTTGGATATATTGAGGCTTTAGTTCACACCACCAACACGCTGAACACATGAGACCGATAATATGTGCAATACAAGCAAGCAATTCGCCACTCCACGAGTCTATAGTGTAACTATTTATAAGAATCATTTGTGAATAGTCTTCATTGAGAAATTTTATAATTTCTGCGCCGGTGAAAGGAAGATTTTGTGATTTCGACGATAAACAAACGTTCAATGAAAATGAACATGTTTTCAAGTAAAAACGTTGTTTAGGATTAAACACAGATTGTGTAAGGTTTGGATCACATAGTTGTTTTAAATAGAATTTATATTGATCTGTGATTAAAAACTCACGACTCAATCGACTATTGAGATGTAACAGCGTTGGTAAATAGACGATATCAGAAATATCATGAGCTAAATACGACACGGTATCAAACCACATACAGACAAGTGTCAGAAATGTATCATTGCTCGATTTGATTTGTTCAAGTACACCATCAATCCAAGCAATACTCGATGGAATAATAAGCGATATTTTTGTATCAGGCTGAATTTCATCATTATTCGAAATTAATTTGAGATTAAATGAATGCAGTACATGAAAGAACTTGACGCAATCATCGAGATTGATCCATTGCTGTGAATATTTACTGAGCATTTGCCATGTCCAATGTTCAATAGTGATTAAAGACTTGAGTGATGCTGATACAAACGACGATATTGTTGAAGAGGTTTGCTTTTCGAAAATATCTGTCATCTTCATTATCACATCATTGGACCAAGATGCATTAAGAAATGCAGGAACAAATTGCTCGAGATTGTTTTCTGTCATCTTGTGTTTTAAAGAATGCACCAGAAGGTTGTGAAAAAGCACACGTGATGTAGTAAATCAATCAAGTAATAAACGGTAAAATGTGAAAGAAAAATAAACCAGGTGAGTTATGCTTGATCGCAAACGGCTGTGTGCCAATCAATTACGACAGGAAAGGACAAACTTTAACGGTAACCATATATAGCAATCGCCAACGATGCTGTAGGGTGTATTACGACCATCTTTAACGATAAATGTAAGAAAACATCTTAAACAGCCAGCATAGTTATAAGATAAGACACTTGTAAACGACACCCAGATAATGTCGCTAAGCACCGTGTATGCAAATTTTATACGATTTATTTTACGATCATTGTTTTTTTATTATTAACATTCGTTTGCCCTGTGATCATTTTCGTCCTAAAGGATTGATCGAGCTCTAAGATCGTAGATATCAATAGTGAACTGACTTAAAATAAAATAAGAAGAAAAACGAATAGGTGCATGAAGAGAGAACAAGAACAGGATCAATAAAATAATTGTTGAGTGATCATGTTTCAAAGAGTCGAGTCATAAGTATATATGTATGAAGTTTTTTATTCTTTCCTCTCGTTCTTGTCTCTTTGTTAAATAGACTTGATACAGGATAGAGGTGAGCATTACATTAGACACAAACGTCAATCAAAGTAGTCCACATATGATTGATCAAATCATCAACGATTATTCGAAAAAACATCATGCGTGAATTTTTCACGATTTGGCAATGTTTCACAACACAATGGGCAAGCATATCCTGTACTACAGATGGAATATTCTTTTATGAACGGCCTTTACCCTATATATAGCTCCTAGCCAGGACGAAGTATACGAACTGCGTGGATGCTCGGAAACGATCGCTCATCCTGCATGAACGTTTCTGAGGGTACACACATTTCTTATAGTATGTTCTAGATAGTCAATTAGAAAACAAGTGATTTGAATAAATATCGAATATGTTAACGAATTTTTTCCATTTACCTAGAGAATGTAAAATGAAACAAACCGCAAAAGAATTTTACTCATG